CAGCCCTAGAGTCGTCTCCTTTGGTCCGAATCAGGGACCAATGTTGTTCTGAAGTTAAATAATTGCCTAGAGTTGGTTCGTGTTCTCAGCACAGGGGGTCAGGATGCAAAAAGGATCAAATGCAGGTACCGTTTGACTCAAGACGTTTTAATACCACCTGGTACTGTGTTATTCCAGTTGATACCATGAAGGCATCAGGTCCTGATGTGCAGCCCTATCTCTGAACCTCCCTTTATCTTCTTTCTCAGTATTTAAAACATCACCCTCCCTGAGGTTTACATCGTTCTCCATCTCTATCTCGGCTTCTCTGCCTCATTTTTCCTCCTGTATATCTCTCTGCCATTAAAAGAAGGGTTTATAAATTATCCTTATATATGCCTGTCAGCATTCGTTTCAGCTCTTCATACTCCTCCATCAATCCCACAAGTCTTCCACAGCCTCCTCTCTTCCCCCTTCATCCTTCGCCTCTTTCTCTCCTGTGGCACAAAAACAATATTTTCCTATCCCTACCCCCGTCCTGTACATCCCTCCGTTTCTCTCGAAAGTATCTGAAAGCCGTTTTTATTTCTAACTCTAATTTACTGTGGTTTAAGCAGCTTTTTTTTTCCTCGTATGTCCACCTCCCTCCTCCTCACTGTACTGTACTCCCCTGTCTGTAACCCTCCAAAGTCTGGCTCTTTATTGTGCTCCACATGCCTTCTTATCTTTTGTACAAGGCTTAAATACCAGTCTTGGTGACAAAGACCCACCCCTGGACACTGACAAAAGGTCTCATTACACAGAGGGAAGACAGAGCCAGCTGCACTCAGCACTCTGTCTCACTCTTTTTTCTCTCACATGCACACACACACGTACCCAAAAACACATACAGAACACAGTGTGCACATCATGTACGTCAAATCGGATGAAGGACATTCACTGCTGTCATGTCTCGCATGTAACACGCATACAAATGTGAACTGACAGCAGCCGTTTCGTCCACAAAAGCTGCATTAAACTTCTATCTGTGCGACTTGGAAGTGGCAAAAACACTAATGCAAGCCCTTCCGTTCTTGTGGAAAGCATTGATCAAAGCTGCTTAATAGCCAGGTTCAACACTCCGCTGTTCCTGTGGAGAGCTGAAGGCTTGCTCAGTCCTCATTACAGCCTCCGACGGGAGGCAGAGACAGGAAGTGTTGAAGGGAAGGACAAGGAAATGAATCCTCTGGAACTCTGCATCCTCATAAATCACAGCAGCACACGAAAAACACTTCAACTCCTCGGGAAAAGATGAACGCACACACAAGCACACTTGCAAGTATACACATGCACAAATGCCAATACATATACACTCAACATACACAAGCACATACAGGTCACATCCACACACCCACTCACACACAGTGTCAATCAATTCTATATTTGGCTTCCCGTCTCTTGCTGCTGTAAACATGATTATTTCCCAGTTTGCTGAGCAACCCTGATACAAATTCATCTACATTTAAACAAGAGCTGAACATGATACAGATCAACAGCTCTCGTTCAGCTTAACATATTAATTATTTAACTTAATTAACATTATCATCTCATGGTCTGCTGAAACCTCTTCTTAATGTGTCACACTGCTACAAAACTAGCAAGGTGGCCAACACATCCTTTTCCAGGCTCCTGTCTTAAGCCCAAAACACCTTAACCAACTCCTTTTAACTGTGAATTCTTTCCCAACCTTCTTCTAGATGTCTGAGCTCTTAAAGGGTATCTTTGGTATTTTTCTAACCTGGACTCTATCTTTCCATGTTTTTGTGTCCAATGACTGATGAGACTGATCTACTATTTAGTGAGAGAGCTGCAGCCAGCAGCAGCAAAACAGACTGTGATGTAACCACTTGCAGCAATTGTGCACTGTCAATTTACGTCCCCTAAATAAGGTTGCTTTCAGACCTAGGGTTGTCTTGCTTTGGTCTGAATCGGGGACTTATTTTGTTCCAAAGTTGTATAATTGCCTAGAGTTGGTTTGTGTTCTCACGGCAGCATTTACAAGAGGACCAGATCAAATGCCTTGTGTGAGAAAGCTGCTCTCGATTGGTCAGAATTTCCATGTGGGAAAAATCCAGGAAGTAAAGCAAATGTTGAAGAAGAGTACACTTGTAAGATAAATGTGACACTTTCTAATGTCACAATGGAGGGACAACTACGCAGGTTGATTTTAGCGCTGGTTTCCACCAAACATTTTTGGTGTGGTACCAACAGTAACCCTTCACACATGGTACCTAGACCCTAGTGTTTCCAGTGCAAACAGTACCCTGCTCCTGCTCCGTCCAGCACTCACTGTATTTCCTCTTCACTGGTGACACAGATGGAAGTCTGCACCTTGTTTATCGTCCATAGAACGAGGCTGCACGCCCACATTTTTAGAACAAAATAGAACAGGCTGCAGTGAGAGTCTCTCTCCATGGGATATTTAAAAATAGCAGCTTTGTGCATTTAGTCCTTCTCAGGCAAGCTCAGGGGTTTAGTGTTGCTGTAGCCCACAGGAACAACACTCTATGACACTTTTTTTTCCCTGAGGAGTAGTTCACACAATGCTCAAAACCAGCCACAACTCAGCCCTGAGCAGAGTGACCGTCCTCTACTGACCAATCAGACTGCAGTGTTCACAGCTCCACCTTTTAGTACCAGATCTGTGTGCTAGGTACCCCAACAGAGGGGGGACCAAACATGGGGACAGTACAGAACAATTCCATCGGTACCATCTAAGGATAGACCGATACATCGGCCGGCCGATATATCGGGCCGATATTTGAGTTTTTTACTTGTATCGGCATCGGCCGATACACGCGTGGGTTTGCGGATTTATTTTTCCCTGGCATGATTTACAGACAGGCATCCACGGGCAGCTCTGTGTTGCTGGAAGACCCTGCAGCACACATGCAGCAAATCCTACTGTGTACAGTTGTTGCTGTTTTATTTATGCTTCAGCTTAAATATTTGTTTATTTTATAAAGACATTACTGGAAGATTTAAGAGCACTGAACTCTTTTTTTTATTTGAATGTATAATAATAATAATAATATTCTACCTGTTCTACCTCAACTTTCCATCTTGTTTTAGTATTTTTTACTGTTCAATAAATGTTTCTTATTTTAAACTTGAGACCTGTAATATTTGTTATCATTGTGTCATTTTTTTGATGTAAATTGAGGGAGCAAAAGCAGTATCGGCCCCAAATATCGGCTCAAGAAAATCGGCAGTCCATAATCGGTCATCGGCTAAGGGTGATGGAAAAAAATCGGTATCGGCATCGGCCCTAAAATATCCATATCGGTCTATCCCTAGTACCATCCACAACTTTTCACAGTGGAAACGGGAAAAAATGCGTATTAAACTGAACAGAACCGTACTGGTCTGCTAGGTGGAAAGAGGACTAAAAAGGACCGTCTCTGTAGGGATCCTTTCCATAATGTTGTCGGCCACTTAAAATAATAATCTGAGCCTGTCAGTGACGTGAATTGACAGTGACAATGTTGCCACTGCTGGCTGCAATGCTTTTGTTAAATACGGGACTGATTGAATTAATTATTGCTGTCTCCTTTGTTAAAACAAGCTCCACATTGAAAAATACCTTAGTTACCCTTTAACCCTTTCTCTAAGGGTAAGCCAAGCCACCCTGCACAGGAAATTACTTTTGGCCACATGTATCTCCAATTTCATTCTTTTGCCATGACCCAAACCTCATGACCACATGTAAAGGTTGTATACACAAGTGTCCCAAAAGAAGTGGAGCAACCTACTCTTGTGCACATCACAAGTTAAGGTTTGACAAAGCCCATAAAACAACATAAATCTGCAAATAGAAGAGAAGTCATCCTAACAACACCTAAATGACAATCTTCAGACTTCTGTGGTGCCTTGGTATTCTAGCCATAAAATTCAGAACCAGGAGAAGAAGCAGAGGGCAACTTTGTTAGAATTAAATGCCTACAGTGAATAACTGATTGATTGATTGATTGATTGATTGATTGATTGATTGGTTGATTTGTTGCTCAGCACCTCATCACTCCTCTAGGCAATGGCAGCCTTTTTGAATTCTGCACTCAACTGTCTGCGTCTTCTGCCAATCATTCTGTCATCATCACAGTGACTAGTCTCAACAATGATGCATGAAAGAAACACAACAAAGACACAAGAGGAATTAAAATAGGACTCACCTAACGACGCAGGAGCAGCCAAGGCAGCAATCATCACAGAACATGGAAGGTAAAAATCGACAAAAACAACAATTACCATTTGATACTTTTTTAAAGTCACAGGCTCAGGAGACACACCAGGGTGTGAACTCTTGATACATGACAACAGAGGTGGAGTTAACATGACCTTCAACATTCTTTTCTAGGAGAAGTTGTAAAGAAACTAGTGAGGAAAACAGTGTTAATTGGACACACGGGAGAGAAGAAAGAGTGACACCTCACCCCTGGATGCAAAGGAAACAGAGCATGATTACAGTGTTAACACATACACCTGGACAGAAGAGAGAAAGAGAAGGTTGGTTTTGATTTGGTGAAGATGTCTAGTGGTGTTGCTAAGGAGAAAGACTGTGATTGATTAGTAGGAGCACATCCATCAACAGCAACACTGTTAATCACAAGAACATCCCAGCGGTGCAACATTCGGGCATTAAGATACTCACAGATTAAAGTCAAGCCAATCCACAGCCTCAGGTCAACACTTGAGCTCATGCATTAGTCACTCAGAAAGAGTCCAAATTGGACAAGCCAAAAAGCCCCAGTCAAGATTTTTAGATATATGTGTCCATGCAAGGGGTCTCATTATCGATCTAACTCCTACTGGGTAAAAGACAACCAAACACTCAATCCTGCCCAAATAGCATTTAAAATCAGTTTCAAATATATGGAAGACTCAAGCTGGATGAAAACACCATGCATGACAATAAACCACTGGTCTTTAGTCTCTAGTCACTCTATAATTAGCTACTATTTTCTCCAGAGCTGACTACAACCAACCTTCGATGACGGGGGCAACTGGAGGGACCATGGCGGGTTCATCCATGGGATCAGCAAAGCTGGGAAAGAAGGGCTTAGCTGTAGGGTTAAGACCAGATCCTGGGGTGGCCGATGGAGGGGAAGAGGGGCTGATGAGTGGGGATGCTTGGAGAGGGAAATTCTTTGCTCCTGGAGAGGTGGGACTCTTGACAGAGGAGGAGGAGGATGAAGAACGAGACTTCTTGGATTGCTTCTGTGCTGATTTGGCATCTTTGTGCTCTTTGGGCTGGAATTCCTGTGCTGTGGTTTTGGGGGAGCGGAGAGGAGCTGGGCTTGGAGTATCGAAGGACAGCCCTAAGGTTACAGGATGACCTGGGGCGCTCATGTCACTGAAGTCAAAGAGCTCGCTGTTGCCGGTCACGTTGGAGTCATTTAGGAGCCATGAAGCATCTGAAGGTGAAAGAGGTGGGGCCGTGGCTAACACCTCGCCTTTTTGGGAAAGGCCTGGGCTCGGCTGGGAGGCAGGGCTGAAAGCAGAGGTGTCTCCCTCTGGCATGACTTGCACATGAGACTCTAGGAGGGAACTGGTGTTGTCAAACATCCCGCTGTCAACCAAGTCACCACCAGGTGAAAAGGCCTGGCTGCTGTTGCCTAAGCTTGCATTTTCAGTATCCATCAGGAGGTCGAATGGATCATCAGGGCGAGGAACCATGGGGAAGGAGCCAAGTGTCGCACTGTTGGTGGTGGAGGGCATAGTGAATGGAGGTGCTGTGGCTTTCAGCTCGCTGTTCAGGACCAGTGGGATCATGGGAGCAGCTGCTGGGGAGAACAGGTCCTCAGACAGGGGGGACGGGACCAGGCCTTCTTCTGGGAAGACCTCCTGTTTCCAGGGGCTCTGGCTGGTGTCCATGTCTACGAACGAGGCCTCCAAGTTTGCCTGAGTAGAACTCCCCAGATCCAACAACTTCTCCTCAGTGATTTGAGAGGTCACCGCAGCCGAAGGGACAAACGGTTCTGCTCCCACTCCCCACTCCTCTGGAATCTTCTTCCTGCTCTTACCCTTCTTCCCACGGCCTCCACTCTTTCCAAGCTGCTCCTCCCAGCCACCTTCTCCTCTATCCCGCCTTGGGCCAATCCTGTGGTAGAACTCCTCTGTGTTTTCTCCTTGTGTCTGCACCTCAGGGTGACCCCTGCTCTCGGGGTGTTCGTAAGATCCCTCATCTTTCTGTCGCCTTTTCTTCTTTTTCTTTTGTTTTCGGTCTGAACCATCTCCCTCCCTTTCGTCGCCTCCAGCATATGCAGTGCTCTCTCGGACAGGCCAACTGTCAGGTGAGTCATCAGGGCTGACTGCGAGATGGCCGCAATGGCGAGTGATCACATTGGCAACACTGGGGGTGAAAGGGAGGTCTGCTGATAGGATGCCAGCCCCGTCTGGCCAGCAGTCACCTACGGCACCTTGTTGTGGGTGAAGAGGGGAGAGTTTAAAGTTGGGGGGAGATGGGTATGTGGATATGAATTGGTTCCCTTACTCTAACTCAAACAGAAAATGTAGCCGTTTTCTCATATGAACTCCGGACAATGCCTGGCACTGGCTTCGCTGGACATTGTCCGAAGTTTCCCTTTCACACATGTAGCATACAACAGGAGACTGTCTGTGTCAAAAACATTGTCACCTACCGGAAATATTACAATTTAAGTAAGGATGGTGCCTGAGTAGAGTAAGATTACACCTCGGTCAGGTAGCCAGTTTGTAATTTGGTCATGAACCACAGAATCTTGTGCTGTTCCTTGAATTTGTTTGATGATTTTGACTTCGCTCTTACCAGCAGAAGTTTCCCTAATCTTGTCATCTCTCCAATTAGAGATTTTCATTGACAGCTTTGTGTAGATGACTGTTGTTTCCCTCCAGTTTCATGCGAGCCGCATGACGGAAACGTCATCAACATGCCCACTCGCTAGCTCTGAATTCTCCGGACAATTACTTGCTCTATTCACACACCGGCTCAATCGAACATTATACGAACTTTGTACCAGGGAGCTGGCAAGACAAAGTCCATTTACTGTCCAATCTAACTGATTCACACATTTGCGTTCACACATACTCTGGGAAATGTCTAGATAATTTCAGTTTTGCAGTGCATGTGTGAAAGGGACTGATCTGAGAAACTTAAGAATGCATCAGACAAACAGGCAAAAACAATACAACAAAGACGATCATATCACTGAAAGTGTACACACATTTTTTAAGGAGTTCTAATGTGTAGTAGCTATTCCAGTTATTTTTTATTAGCTGAGATGGTGGGAAGGCTGAGAGGATGCCAAAATGGATCAGACACAGCATCGAAGCATCTGGAGGAATTCAATCAAAGTCCAGAAGCAATGTGTGATGCTCCAGACAGCCGAGACGTAATCGCTACAGCCTTTGTGGATAGGAGCTGTGGGAGAGCTTTTTCTCCTTCATTTATCTGCACCCTTTAGTCAAACAAGCAAATGTGTTTTATTGATCTTAAAATATAACCAAATACATGTCAACCCCAAGCTGGATTTCAAGTCTTAAAATTCTGTCTGTGTCAACGCTGAGTGAATAAATGCTTGGAGGCATGAGAATACACACACACACACACACACACACACACACACACACACACACATAAACACTGTGGAGAGTATTGAATTAAATGATAGAGAAATTGTACTTTTGGGTGGCTGACTCACTGCAGCCCCGGGGTCTGGTACAGTGCATGCTTACGCTGAAACTATTGGGTGGCAAAAAAGCTCTGTTTGAAATCAAAACAGAGTGTAAGATTCAGGTGTGTGTGTACATTTATGTTGCAATGTACGCGGAAACAGAGACAGACAAAACAAATAGACTGCCTAATGGTCCCACAGAAAGGAGGTCAGTTACAGGCAGCCATGATGTAACTAAAACAGCCTGGTTTTGGGACACTGTGTAATGAAGCTCAGGTAGGCGGGAGGTAACAAGAGTAGAGGGGAAGTTGCCCACTGAGGGTTGTTCTTCTACTTTGGCCCAGTTTGATTCTAGTTTTCAGTGATACACACACACAGAAAGAACTGCTAAAGTGGAGCAGCTGTCAGGCCCCATACAACACAGTTACCCTCTGGAGGGCCATATTTCATGTTAACAAAGCCCCGACAGAACTTTACTCTCTATACTGTATGTGCACTAATTGGGAGAGTCAGAAAAAGACATCAGCCACATGGACCAGAATGACTTAAATGTTGAGTCGTGCAACCTCATTAGGCTGGGGGAGGGAGCGGGGGGGTCAACAAACAGCCATCTCACTGTATGTGCATATACTGCAGTTGATCTATTTCTGGCCCGTCCTAGCTGACATTGGGTGAGAGGCAGAGTACACCCTGGACACGTCACCAGATTATCACAGGGTTTACATACAGAGACAGACAACCATTCACGTTCACATTCACATGTACGGCCAAATTAGAGTCACTCATTAACCTAGGCTGCTTGTTTTTGGACTGTGGGAGGAAGCTGGAGCACCTGGAGGAAACCCACGCTGATACGTGAACATGTAAACTCCGCACAGAAGGGCTCCCCCACGGCACAAAGATGCAGCAGTTAGCATTGTCGCCTCACAGCAAGAAGGTTCCTGGCCTTTTAAAAGGCAGTATGATTCAAATGCAGAACTGCAGTGCGCAATGCGGCAAATATCCTTCTTGCTTACTTCTTGCTTCTTGCTTACTTTCATATGACGCTTTGATCAAACGCTATCACACACTGGAATAAAGCCGAAGCTTGTTGTTGAGGTGTTTGAAAATAGAATCAATTTAATTGCAAAAACTGCCATTCATAGCTCTTCCAAATATAAAAACACTCTTCAAATGGTGAAAACCATTCAAAGAGTAAAATTTAAAACTGTCAAGCGGCGTCCTATCATCCACCATGCAAACACCTCCACTGCATATAAATTAGCTGCTTGGCAACTTTAAGGCCGGAGAATGAGCCGTAAATAACCTTGACCTGCAACAACAGCACAGGACTACTTAAACCAGAGTGCTGGTATATACAGAGATGCTGAAGGATCCAAAGGCCTGCATACCTCCAGGCAACTGCCATGAGACTGTTCTGCTCGCTCCCAACCTTTAATCCACTACTCACCAACAGCAACAGAGTCATGACAGTCTGAAGCACCCTCTCCTTACTATATCATATCCCATTCTGCCGCATCTTCCTGTGTACACTCAAGTATGTTAAGTGTAAAAAGAAAATTGCTTTCAAGTCCTCCCTTATTTGTTTTCCTTTACCTTCAGCACTCCTCTGACGCTGTGATTGTAGAGTCAGATGTATATATTACAAGTAAAAACTAATGGTGGTGTATACAACCCCAATTTCACAGAAGCTTGGACGCTGTACGTAAATAAAAACAGAATGCAATGATTTGCAAATCTGTTTTGACCTGTATTAAATTGAATACAGTACAAAGACAGCGGATATTTAATGTTCAAACTGATAAACTGTGTTGGGTTTTTTGTAAATATACACTTACTCTGAATTTGATGCCTGCAACATGCTCCAAAAAAGTTGGGAAAGGGGCAACAAAGGACTGAGAAAACTGTGGAATGCTCAAAAAACACCTGTTTAGAACACTGTACAGTTAAACAGGTTCATTGGTGATAAATGATAGTATCATCATCATATGAAAGGGGCATCCTCGAAAGGCTCAGCTGTTCACAAGCAAGGATGGTCACTTAGTGAAAAAACTGTGTCAGCAAACGAACACGCTGGTTCCCAACTGGTCCAGCGTCAGGGTCCAGATTTCTCCACAGTCATTAGTTCAAGGTCCACACAGTAAAATACACACTTGTGTTTGGCCATGTCATCAAGCTAGTTTGCTGTCTCTGTCAAGAAGCTGTCCATTTGTTACTCAATTTACAACTGGGAACGGCACTTCAAAATAAAAGCTCTGTGCCTAAAAATCATTGTTCTTTGAAATAAAGTGTGTTTTTTACAAACTTGACATGTTCCAGAGTCACTTGCAGTGCATTCAGAATGGACCCGCGACCCACTTTTGGACCACGATCCACCAGTTGGGAACCACTAATCTAACAAGAACAATGTTTGTCTATGAACATCCTTTCGACCATTTTCATCCGATTATCCAGGGCCGGGTCGCGGGGCCAGCAGGCCAAGCAAAGCACCCCAGCCGTCCCTCTCCCCAGCAACGCTTTCCAGCTCCTCCTGGGAGACCCCAAGGCGTTCTCAGGTCAGATGAGATATGTAATCCCTCCAGTGTGTTCTGGGTCTGCCCCGGGGCCTCCGATCAGTAGTGATGGCCAAATGAAGCCTCATGAAGCATTTTCTTTATTTTCTGAGCCCACTAGATGGCGCTCATGGTTTAAAGAGAGAGGCTCAAAGAATGGCAATTCAATAAGCTTTTGTTGGGCACAGAAAATAAAGAAAATGCTTCATGAGGCTTCGTTTGGCCATCACTACCTACCAGTGGGATGTGCCCAGAACACCTCTAATGGGAGGCCCCTTATGATGTGGAGGAGCGGCAGCTCTACTCCGAGCTCCTCACCCTATCTCTAAGTCTGAGCCCAGACACCCCACAAAGGAAACTCATTTCAGTCGCTTGTACACATGGAAATCGTGGACATTGTGTCCTCTGGGCTGAAGCGGGAGAGGACCGTCCAGATTGTTACCGGCGCCAACTTCAAAAGCCAGCATCTGTGATGATATAGATGTGTGTTAGTGCCCATGGCATCGTGGGTAACTCTCACATCTGTGAAGGCACTTTGAATGCTGAAAGGCACATACAGGTTTTGGAGCAACATATGCTGCCATCCAGACAACCTCTTTTTAAGGGACGTCCCTGCATATTCCAGGTAGACAATGAGACTCATCCTGCACATGTTCCATCAGTGTGTGCAGGTACTAGACTGACCTGCCTGCAGTCCTGACTCCTATTAAAAAACAGTATGGTGCATCATGAAGCACAAAATGAAGCAACGGAAACCCTGGACTGTTCAACACCTAAAGTCGTAGATCAAGCACGAAAGGGAAATAATTTCACTTTCAAAACTTGTAAACATGCTCCTGTCCCAACTTCTTTGAAACATGTTGCAGGCATCAAATTCAGAATGGAAAGGATTCATAATGTCGGTAGTTCATTAAATCTGCTCGACAACAGAGAGACATTCAGACTCATTAAAGACTCCCTTCAGGTTTTTAAAGTTCTTCACTCTACATCTTAGAATATGGAAAAAGGAGTTGGTGGTTGCCGCATTGTTGAGTCAGAGTCAGCGGAGTTTATAAACACACACACACACACACACACAGATTGAGATAGTGAGAGAGACGGGCACTGTGTCTTCTGATCAATTTCAGGGTGGCAGTGAGGGGTTAACAAACCACAGCAGTCTCCATTTTCTCTGCCCTCACCACCTGTTACACATTGATTGAAGAGTTTGTGAATGAGTCACCTCTGTCTGCTGCAGAGTGAGTCAGGCTGTGGCTCCGCTCGCTGCAGTTAAACCCAAGCACTGCTCAGCTGCACTGATTCAAACATTCCTGTTGTTGTTTTGGTCTCTGGTTAGATTTTAGCAGCGGGAGGAATCAGACAAACCAGATTCCATCTCCAGGGTGTCTACAGGTATCAGACACTTAGATTTAATGCTTTTTAAAACCTTGTCAAGATCATTTTTAACCAAATTTAAGACTCATTTTTGGACAATTTTTTTTCTTATTGAAGCATTGCAGGTTAAGTATAAGCGTAAGTGGTAAATATATATAGTCCTGTGCAGAGGTAGGTTTTATGTAGGAAATATTCTTACTAAAGTGAGTTTGGTTAATCTACATTTTGCCAACAGGTAAGTACAAGTATAAAGTGAAACGACTGTATTAGGTTCAATAGTAGGTTTACAGATTTGTAACATCAGAAATATGGACTTTAACACCAAAGAGTTTGACTTATGTTGACCAAAGAAATTCAGACAGATAAATTAAATTAGATTAACTGTCTGTGGCAATTAAGAGCTCACAAACTCAACTTTAAGACTATTTGTTCTAAGGTCCAATATCTATAAAACTGAAGACATTTGAAGACTTTTTAAGGACCTGCAGACGCCCCGAGAACAACTCAAATGAGCATCATCCATGTGATTAGGGTTTGTATTTGTTTCATTTTATCCTATGATCCTACTCATGAGTACATGCTGGCCATGTGACACCAACACCAGTTTCCTCACACCCACAAAGCTTCAGTTATGGGGTCTCAGAGGAGGAGCAGGCTCTGTATTCTTAGACATATTTGCACAGCTTATGATTATTTCATGCAGAACAATCTTTTAACGGCTGTGTAGACACCAAATAGAGGCAGAGCCACTTTGATATTCCTCCCGCTGCTCTTATTTAGTACAGCGACACAGGGGGTTCTGCCACCTGCTGTGCAGCAGCGCACTGTGGGGGCTCAGCTGCTGTGATGCTCCGTGCATCGTTTCACTGCCCGCATGGGATGTACGCGGCGACCTACTGGCTGACACAAGCTGCAGAATGGTGACAACTACAACTCCATGCTCTCTAGGATCAGATGGGCATTGAACTGGAGAGCAGCCCCATGGGGGAGGGGGACTGAGAGGGTGGACAGTGAGGGACACAGACAGCTTCTCTCTCTCTCACACACGCACACACACAGACTAAACACATACAGTATAGGACTAGAAGCTATGGCATGATGGCAGACCCTATACTGTACATGTCAGCATCAGATCACATTGACCTTGAGCTGGATGACTAAATCACATTGGAGCTGGAGTGTGTGTGAGGAGGAAGCTATAGAAAAGACGGACAGCTGCTCTGTATACTGCACCCCTCTGTGGAACAAATGAGACAGTGCAGTACAGGGCGCAGTCACATATATATGATATATTACACTATACAGTGATCAGTTATTCCTGCTGGGGCTGATTTAAAATAATCCAACTCCTCATGAATCAACTGTACATTACAGGCAATGCTACAGAAGTGGGTCATATTACAGTAGCTTAATAAGCAGTATTTGTCAGACGTTACAGAGATCTAGCAGTTAACACGTTGGTATATGAGGGTTTTGTTTTTACCTGCTGACACATCCAGAGGGCTGCGAGGTGGCTGCGGTTCAGGCAGCATGGGGCTGTGCTCCTTAGGGGCCTCTGAGCCCGCCGGGGGTGTGGGATGCTGGGGTTCTGCTATACTTGACATCCTCTCTGCCGAGAGGGGTGCAGCCCCCACCTCCACGTTGAGCCCCATCCCACCAGGCTGGGAGAAACCTGACAAGCAAAGGCAGACAAACAGATATTGTAGAGTTAGTGTTGGTGATTCTCTTCGCACTGATGTCACTGTTGTTAAATATACACTGTTGTTGTTTTTCTTTTAATGGTAATAAACCTTCCCATTTAACGACGGGTCGCCCAATGACATCATCTTCACTGCAAAATATTTCCAGGAAATTACAATATGTAACTGTAATATTTCCCATTAAATTTTCTCATTATTATCACTTCACAGGCTTTTACTGTGATATTCAACCAAATTCAGAATTTTATTGTGAAACTCATGCAGGTGAATGTAGTAAGTTTAACTGTGACATTACAGTGAATTACAGTAATTCTACGGGAGTATGTTTCTAAATCACAGTAATTAAATGTACATAAAATGTGAAGTTACAGTTAAATTCAGTAATTTACAGGAACTTACTGTTATATCAGTAATTTAATGTGCTTTAACTGCAAGTTCACAGTTAAATATAGTCATTTTACAGGAGCATACTGCTAAATCACAGTAATATACAGGCTTAACTGTGAGATCACAGTACACAGCTGTCATTTAACAACAATTTACTGTAAAAATAACAGTAATTTACTTCAAAAGTAATGCACCTTGTAGCCAGTAATTTACTGTAAATTCATTCACTGATTCATTTCCTTATCCTCTTATGGGTCGCAGGGGGAGCCTGGAGTCTATCCCAGCTGACATTGGGTGAGAGGCAGGGTTCAACCTGGACAGGTCACCAGACTATCACAGGGCTGACACATAGAGACAGACAACCATTCACACTCACATTCACACCTTCGGACAATTTAGAGTCACCAATTAACCTGCATGTCTTTGGACTGTGGGAGGAAGCTGGAGCACCTGGAGGAAACCCACGCTGACACGGAGAGAACATGCAAACTCCACACAGAGGGGCTCCCCCACCCAGGGTTCGGACCAGGAACCGTCTGAGGCAACAATGCTAACCACTGAAATTTACAGTGTACTATAGGGAAACTATCTTGTTCTTTGTGAGTGCAAAAGCTCGATGTTCAGCTGTAGAAGGTTTTCAAACACTAAAAAGGTGAACGAGGATATTCTCTCTATTGGTTTATTCATCACAACATGAACAAACCAAAGTACAGTGCTGTTCACTGGCAAAGCAAGAGAAGAAGGGGAGGTGGGAACTGAACAAACCAGGAGAGAGAAAGTCAAAGAGGACAAGGTGCAAGATGAAAAGAGCAGCAGCAAGAGTGACTCCTGACAAAACAACAAATAATCTACACAGCTCCTGGGGACACTCTCAGGCAAACTCACAAAAGGAATGTGCGGATTTTGTGGCCACTAAACCTGCACGAGAAAGAAACCACTTAACTCTCAAAGCACCTGCAGAGGATGAAAGACATCTACTACTGCCAAGAAGAGGGGCCATGGCCCTCCTTATTAAAGTACAGTCCCCCTCCACAAAAAACTGTAAGTAGAGGCTGACATTACTGTTTTAGGCTAGCACAAAGATATTGCTATCTTGAGAGAGTAGACAACCTAAAGCTTTAATTAGTACCGAGCATGTTGGCATAGCTTGGCTCAATAGTGCTCCGAAGTTTGGCTAAATTTTGGCGATGGAAAAACTGGCATGGCGATCTTCAAAGAGGCCCCTTGAACTCTCATGTGAAGTTCTCTGAACGAAAAAGGGTTCTAAGGGTACTTGTACCGTACTCTACTGGTATTAGTCTACGTACATCGGACAATTAGTAATATCAACTGTAAAATAAGGAATCAAAGTATATCAGTTTGCAATTCTTTGGTGTGACAATCACAATTTTCGGTGGCCCTATATGGCCACCCCTATGAAAGATTCCCAGGGGCGCCACTGCTGCCAATCAAATAGCGTCTCTGTATTCCTGTGCTACTTGCATGTGTTAGAATTAGGTTATACAGGTGAAGTGAATAACTTTGATTAGTTTGTTCCAATGTATTGTTCTGCTGGGAAACCTTTGGTTCTGGCATTCATGTGGACACCACCTGACATGTTCCACCCACTCAAACACCGTTGTACACCAAGCACCCCCCCTCATGGCAACAGTACTCCCCAGTGGCAGTGGCCCTGCATGCCACACTACAAAAACTGTTTAGGCCTGTGGAGCGTGACAAAAAGCTCAAGGTGTCGACCTGGCTTCTAAATTTCCCAGGTCCCAATCTGCTCAAGGATTCTTGTGATGTGCCGGTACCCCAGATGTACCCCCAATCCAAATTTGGGCCATCTTGGATCGGACTTGGCTCTGACCTGTCGAGGCATGGACACAGGATCCCTGGGAGTGTCCTGCGTTGGCGGCAGATCCATTTAGTCCAGTGGGTTGTGACGAAGGGTTAATGGCACGTGCCACAGATGCTCATTCAGATTAGGATCTGGGGAATTTGGCCAGGTTGAAAATTTGAGTTCTTTGTCACATTCCTTTGGCCATTCCTGAGCGATGTTTGCAGTGTGGCATGCTGCATTATCCTGCTGGGGGCCACTGCCATTGAGGAGTACTGTTGCCATGAGGGGGGGTACTTGGTCTGCAATGGTGTTTAAGTGGGTGGAACATGTCAGGTGGTATCCACATGACTGCCAGAACCAAAGGTTTCCCAGCAGAACAATGCATTGGAACAAAATAATCAAAGTTATTCACTTCACCTGTCAGTGGTTTGAATGCCTGAAGTTTTGAGGAATGCTTCTGCACAGTGTCGGTCACAACTTGTGGCTCACGGCCTGAAAATGTGAGGGGGTTTTATTTCACCAAACTACTCTGTGAATTCACCTGTCTGTGTGCATGAACAGTGTGTGTGAGAGAGCCTGAGTGAGATTATAATAGATGATAAAGTGTGTGTTGTCTGAATACAAAGTAATGAGTATGATTAGTCAAGATTGTGCAAGCACATGAGAGTGTGGTGTGTGAGATAAATTGGTGGAAACTGAGATGTAATTTTGTGGGAATTCATTAAAGTGTCAACTGTATGTGTATGTTTGCAGGAATGTGTGTGTGTGTGTGTGTGTGTGTGTAGGAGAGAGAAATGAAGAAAGATATAAGTGTGTGTTCAAGCCTGGAGCAGTAATTCCGAGACGACAGGTCTCATTAAGGCAACAATGAGAGCTGGGTGCTGGGTATGCAGAGGTTGGCATGGTGAAAGACATAACTCAGCTTCATAGCTCATACCGTGTGTGTGTGTGTGTGTGTGTGTGTGTGTGTCACTGTGTGGAGTACCAGCAGACACCAAGCTAGTGACAGCTACAGCTCTGCATGCAGCTAACAAGCTTCGCCTCACCACAAGCCATTTATCAGGGTGGGTTTTACGACCACAGATTGAAGGCCAGTTGTTGGACTGTAGTGACGTTTTTATTGAGAGAGGAAATCTAATAAAAAAAAGAAATATCATTATTTTTACTGTAACGATCCTCAGTGATTGATGGTTTAACTGAATTTCTAAAATGTCAGCCTCTTTTCTAAACAAACCATTTACCAAATTTAGAGAAGAATCAAACAATCATGTGAGAACTGTGCACAGTACGTACACAAATATCACATGGAAACAGTACAAAGCCATACTGGACATACAGGTAGCACATTGCTACACATGTTCACACCAAGCGGCAACCATCAGGGATGAAAAATGAAGTCAACGTGGAAATGCCTAAAACTGTAGTTCCTCTAATGGCCACTTGAGGCTGGAAACAGAAGCGAGTCAATCTCTCTGTGTCTCGTTATGCTTCCTCTCACCAGAGTATTTAGTGTGTGTCTTGTTTTCTCTCGGTGCCAGTTCATCTAAGCTCTTTGTGTGTGCCTTGTGTTCCAGCCTTTTGTTTTCTAGTGTCCTTTTTGTTTTTTTGGATTTAGCCTGTTGATTGACTCTGACTCAGTCTCATCCCTGTTGGATTTGTTTGCCTTCACTGATTGTCCTTCTGTGTACCAAACCTACCTTTTGACCAGTAATGACTGTGTTATTTTACCCGAGCTGTCTCCAGAGTCGCGCATTTAAGTCCACTCTCACCTGTTCACCAGTTGTTACAGTACCAGGTAATCGAGAAATGGACACAACTTGTATGCATGATGAAAGAAGCTTACTAACGTTAGCTTAAAGGAAATGGCCACTTTAGAATGAAAATACAGACAGTACTTACTGACCCTCATGCCAACAAGAAGACCGGTGTAGTTTTTTAATCCACGAAACTCGTTTGGGGTATCAGAGATATCACACTAGACTCGAGAACTAGCATCACCACTAGCCATCAGCTAGGGGCAGGCTAACTGACCACGGTGAGGAATGATGCTGTAAAAGTAGAGTAAATTACATCTTTTCAAGTCAATTTTGCATGCCGCAGCTTCAGGGCACTTGGATTACGAAGGACGAGCCATTCTGATGTTTTTGAAATGCATTAACGGAGTTTTATTACATTTTCAAAATGTGGGTTCCATGCACTTCAAGTGTAGCTGTTATTCCGGCTAGCGGTTATCCTCTGATACCCTGAACGAGTTTTGTGGATTAAAAAACTGCACTGGACTTCTTGTCGGCAAGAGGGTCAATAAGTACTGTCTGTATTTTCATTCTAAAGTGGCCATTTCCTTTTAGTAGCCAACAACCCAGTTTTATACACCCAAAGGACTTCTGTGAAAATGAACTGCCTGGAGACCAGACCAGACGCTTATCTGTCAAAATGTGGAGCCACACCAGGCTTATAAAAGGGACTGGCTGTTTAAATGGGACAAGGTTTTATTTGAAGTTTTAACGGTATATGTTTTTGGTACAGTGTAAAACAAAAACTCTCTTTTGGCTGTGTGTTGTCCTTGATCATGTCTGGAAAAAAAAAAAAAAACACTGTCCGACCAGTCCATATATAAATAAAAGCATTAGATGTGCAACAGAAAGAATCACTGCTCATTTATTATCTTTGTTTTGTTCAGAATTTTTTTTTTAATTTTTCTTCTTTTGTAGACTTATAACACCAGATACAGTGGTGGAAAAAAGTTTTCGGACACCCTTAAAATTTTACACAATCTCAAATATTATCATGAAATATTTGTGGAAAAATCTTTTTTGTGTTTCAAAAGGTGTGGCTGCATTAGACAGATATAAACAAATACAAATTATATTTTTTTGTTTATTGTTTACAAGAAAAACTAACAAAACTAAATTCTTGACAGTTTCAATATGTCAGTTCTCAACACTGTTGGTATCAAAGTCAACAAATAACAGAGAATGTGTTCAAAACTGAACAAAAAATAAATAAACCATCACATCATCAAATTAATATTTAGTAGTCCTGCCATTGGCACGTAGTAGAGCTCTAATCCTGGCTGGCATGTTCCCCACGAGCCTTTCACACTGTTGAGGGGTAATCTTGTCCCATTCTTCTTGAATTACTGCTTTTAATTCTTCTAAATTCTTTGGTTTATGCTTTGAAACAGACCTTTTGATAATCCACCACAGATTTTCAATGGGGCTCATGTCCGGGGATTGAGCTGGCCACTCTAAAACCTGGATACTGTGCTCCTGCAGCCAAGTTCTACTGGCCTTGGATGTGTGGCAAGGGGCATTATCTTGTTGAAACATCCAGTTTTTACCTCGACGGAACAGTGCACGCGCAGAAGGGAGCATGTGGGTTTCGAGAATGGTACAATACTTGGTAGAGTTCAATGTGCCATCACAGACAGTGAGATGACCAACACCAGCAGCACTCGTGCATCCCCAAACCATGATACTGCCTCCACCATGCTTGACAGTAGGTACTGTACATGCTGGAGATAATGCTTCGCCTGGCCTTCTGCGCACCCTCACGTTAGTAGGAGGAAGATAAAGCTGGAAACTGGACTCATCTGAGCACAAAATCTTCTTCCAATTCCTGGCTGTCCAGTTCTTGTGTGCCTGGGCCCAACGACGCCGGGCTAACCTCTGTCTCTCATTGATCAGGGGCTTCTTGATAGCCTTGTAGGACCTTAAGCCATGATCTAAAAGTCGGCCACGTACAGTGCGGGTGGAACACTGGACACCAGTTTGGTTTGACCACTGCTGCTGAAGCTCCTGTGATGTCATTCGGTGGTTTTGCCTGCACATGCGGATCAGGATGCGGTCATTTCTTGCTGAAGAAACCCTTGGACGCCCAGATCTTGGTTTGTCTTCCAAGCTGTTGGTTCGTCTGTATTTCTGCAGAGTGTATCTAACTGCTGAAGGACTGCATCTGCACTTCCTGGCTATCTGGCGGCAGCTGTACCCTTCCTGGCTGAGAATCTTTATCTTCAGGCATGTTTCCGGCGTTAGGTTCCTTGTTTTAGCCATTTTTGTGTCTGAAGAACTTTCAAATGTGCTGGCTTTATGTAGACACGAAGCTTGACAACAAAAATTGTGTCTTTTAATAAAAAGAACGACCTTCATCACTGGTACCAAAATGACCCAATACTCAAAATTTCTTATGTATTTTTATGGAACCAATCAATTTTAAGTTTTTAATGGCTTTTTTAGGGTTTATTTAGTATTTTGGCTGTGACTGTACTAAAAGAAATTGCACTTGAAGACCTAAGAGTGATTCTTAATGCAATATTTCACAAATGCATGGGGTGTCCGAAAACTTTTTTCCACCACTGTATGATGGTGTTACGCTCTGGTTCTGTAACTTAGTTAAAAGCAAAGATGTCTTACCACTATTACTACCACTTAGCACTTTAATTCAAACTGTCCATCACTGTCACTTAGTACCAGTGGTGAAAACTAATGCCTTAAAATATATATTTTTATACAAATGAAAAATGGAGACTAGAAAATAATTAGTGAAGTGTATAAAATACTTTCATCTATGAATCTACATAGAGCAGAAACAGGAAGCAGAGATGAACCCAACTCATCTTTCAACAAGATCCTGCTCTAGTGCTACTGGATGTTATTCCTGAAAGCCTGAATGTGAGGGATAAGAAATACCTCTTTCATATATTATTTAGAGCAGCTTTAAAGTGTATAACCATCAGATGGCTGAAACCAGACCCTCTCACATACAATACATGGATCCAAAAAGTCTTAGAGCTCTATCAGATGGAACAACAAGCTCAGCTCACATCTCAGCTACATCAGCTGATCTCAAACAGCCCAGTCAACTGATGGAGCAGCTGATTGATCACATGATTCCTTTCTATGCAACCAATTGCTGAATCTCATTCAGGGTGCTCTATTTAAACTGTTCTTGCCTGCCTCATCTGCAAGCTGCTTTGCAACCTGCCTCCACCCCAGCTCTTCCTTTTCATGCTGTGTCTGATTTATCAATGTCATTTCTGTTTGTCACTGATGCTGCTCTGTTCTGTTCCTGTGGGGTCTTTGCTGCTGCTCTCTCTGCCTTAGGCTTTACATGTAGGCACATGGAAGGGCAGGGAGGTTTGCTCTCTATGGCTCAGGCTTTCCTCATTTGCACATGGAAGGGCAGGGAGGTTTGCTCTCTCTGCCTCAGGTTTTCCTCATTTGCACATGGAAGGGCAGACAGGTGTGCTCTCTCTGCCTTATGCTTTCCACGTAGGTGCGTGGAGGAGACTTTCTACATAGGCCCCAGGAAGGGCAGAGAGGCCCCAGAACAAAGCCATACCGCCAATTATAATACTGCAAATGGAAATAAGGTTTTCTTTGACTAAAATGTTCCAGACTGAACTACTATTTTTTCGTTCCTATTTCTTAATTTTATTTTTTTTCTCTAATCAATGGGTTTGGGTATACACACGTTGGAGTGGATGTCTGTGCTGTTTGTCGTCTTCTGTTTGTGTAATACTTGGTGTCGGGGAAGACAAACATTAAGTTGTATATGTGAAGATGATTAATGCTGTCAACTGATGTTAGAAAGCTCCACTATGAATGAAATGATCGTAACAGAGGTACCAGCATCAGTATTAATGTTGCCGTGTGGCAGTTTACCTGAAAAAGCTTCCATCCGGCCAGTATCCATCATGTGGGCAGGGCTGGTCTGGGAGCCCAGAGGATCTGAATAACCTGCCATGGAGCCTGTTAAGACAGAGGAGGGAAGAGAGGGAGTCATGTATCAACAGGAAGTGGAAGGGCAGGAGGGGAACATAAAGAGAAAGAGTAGGGAGGACGAGGTAGTTTGGGGAGAGAAATGAGAAAGAGGCAAAGATGGATGAAGTAGTAAAAGGAGAAAAAAAGGATGAGGGTATTAATTATTTACAGTGGGTGAGATGGAGGTAGACAACAAAGAGGACGGAAGCAAAAAGAGAAAAGATGTTGAAATCAAACTTTTCTACATTCAGCAAATACAAGCACAATATTGTTGTACGTAATAAATTATACATAACTGCCTATTGTTTCTTTAGCACACAAAAACTAAGCTATATGTTTCAATTAAATTCTTTATTTATCCCGAAGTCTGATGAGTCCACTTTTCAAATTGTTTTTGGAAATCATGGACCTTGTGTTGTCTGAGCTGAGGAGGAAGGGGACCATCCACATTGTTACCAGCTCGAAACAGAAGTTCGAAACCAGCATCTGTGATGGTTTGGAGGTGTGTTAGTGTCCATGGCATCATGGGTAACTTGCAATCTCTGCACATAAGGGTCAAGGCTGAAATCAACATTGAATGCCCGTGACCTCTGACCTCCCAGACACTGTATTAAAAACTGACTTGTTGTATAAAGGATTTTACCATACAGGAACTCAGGAACACTTTGGAAAACTGTTGTCAGTAAACACATTTTGTTGCTGCATCTACAAGTGCAAGTTCAGACTCTACCATGCAAAGTGAAAGCGATCTATCAACAACATCCAGAAACACCGTCAACTTTTCTGAGCCGGAGCTCGTCTGAGATGGACTGACACAAAGTGGTCTGACCAGTCCATCATGGACGTTGTGTCCTCTGGGCTAAAGCGGAAAAGGACCATCCAGATCCAGTGGAGGTGTGTTACCCATGATGCCATTGGCAACTCACATCTTTGAAGGCACCATGAATGCTAAAAGGTACACAAAGGTTTTGGAGCAACATATGCTGCCATCCAGACGATGTCTTTTTCAGGGACGTCCCCGCTCATTACAGCAAGAGTTGCATAGTCGTGTATCAAGCAAGAATGGGAAAAATTTTACTTTCAAAACTTCAGTTAGTGTCCTCAGGTCCCAAATTCTAACTGAGTGTTGTTAAAAGCACAGGTGAGTATATTTTTATCAAGAAAACAACCCCCCCAAAAAACAATAAAGTTTATCAATTTGAACATTAAATATTTTGTCTTTGTATTGTATTCAATTGAATATAAGTCACTATAGTTACATAGTGTCCCAACTTTTTTTGGAATTGGAATTATACAGTTCCTTATCTCCTTCCTAAACTTAAAATGGCGGGTGAAGACATCAAAACACCCTGAGCGACATTTAAAAAACTACTGTTGCACTATCATGGCATATTTCATTTCACTCTGAGGTGTCACTTTGCACTCGCCTTTCATACCTGATAAGAAGTCTGTAGCCGAGGCCTGCTGCTGGTCAAAAGAGTGTGGCCACACCTCTCCCTGCGGCTCTGGGCGCAACACGGATGTCTGTCCCCCCGCGGTCAGCTTACAACCTGCAGTGACAACATGGACCCCAGAACATCAGTTCCCCCTCCTCTCTGATGACGCGCTACTCTACAACTGCAATTTAATGGCACAAGGCAACTGAGAACACACTCCGCTGAGCACAAATCCACACACACTCAAATATCACTCACACGTAGACATTTAAAAAACATAAACACATGTATAGAGTGAACTCTGTCTCACCTGCCAAATTTCCTCCCAACAGCAGATATCCCAGTCCCATACAACTCAACATTCAGTGATGTTTGCTATGTGCTGCTCAGTGCCTCTGTCTCTGTCTGTCTCCACTGCAGCCTCAGCTGGCTCTGAGCTACTAACACTGTGAACCCCCAGACACACACACACACACAGGCAATCGCCACACAGGGAGACACACACACAGACACACAAACACAAGAATGCGATCACAGTCGGGGAGTCTGGGTTTGGCGTGACGTTTCACTGTCTGTCTGGTTCAGGTCCCAGGCCCCGCCAGCTAGCGCCTCCCCTCGCACTCCTCGACTTCCCAACAGCCCGCTCCCTCCCTCTCTGTACTCCAGTAGTCACCCTTCAACTTGCGGTCCAGTCTGCAACCAGAGGTGCTGACTGGACCGCAGAGGCCAGAACTGGCAGGTTTAATGTGGCTGTTTGGGAGTGAAAGGTAAAAATTGGACCAAGACGAGGAGGAAAACACAGCACGAGGGAAAAAGGGGGCGGAGGGTCAGAGAGGAAGATGACGGGTTGAGTGACAGGACTGAAAGGAAGAAGAGCAAAGCAGGAGAGAGGATTTACAGAGTGAGTAAGGGGAAAAGACAGGGATGGAGAAGGGAAATAAGCAAAGAAACAGGAAGGAAGTAACCGGGGGGGGGGGGGGGGGGGGGGGGGGGGGGGGGGGGGGGGGGGGGGGGGGGAGGAGCAAAGGAGAGGAAGAGGCAGGCACCAATGGCAACCCTCTCCCAGCAGCGCTCACAGAGGGTGACAGTGAGGCGAACAGACAGGACGCCACCCAGAGTCACAAACGCTTCCACATATCAGACACACACAGGGGCACATGGTGGGGTGCGCTTTGTCTGTCTCGACAGGAAACACTCCGTCGGCAGGGTCACTGATTGATTCAAAAACACTGCTTGTCCTTATGCTCTCACATTTGTGCCTGTCTGTCTTGGAACAAACACATTCAGGGGAAACAGCAAGAGACGTGCAAGGTCACAGTCGACTCCCCACATGGCTGAGGTGGCCAAAACCAGTGCACCTCCAGTAAGAGCACCCAGCATCCTCTGCTCTTACTGGAGGTGAGAGCAGAGGACGCTGGGTGCTCTTACTGGAGGTGCACTGGCCAAACCCGAGCACCAGTAAGAGCACCCAGCGTCCTCTGCTCTCCTTGGTGAACACAGGCGGATGTTTCCCCTGCTGTGCTGCGCTGCTGTCCAAGGTGCTGAAATCAGACTAAGCAGCTTTCAGAGGGCAGTCAGGGGCACTGGTGTGAAAACCTCTAATATCACTCCCTGTTTGCATTTCCAACCCTTACTGAGCCCCTCTGGTTGACTCGGGTAGATCTCAGTCTTATCTAAAGCTGTGGCCAGAGGGTGGTTTTGTATCGGGGGAGGGAGGTTACACAAATACATAACCTCAGAGCTGGAAGCTGTCTGCTGAGGAGCCATCAGTCAAAGAAAACATCACTTGTGCAAAATTATCAGCCGTATTAGCAGACTGAATCGAAAAGTGTCAGAGTACATGCCTAATAATCTGTGACCAGCTGAGTTTACGTTTTCTTAAAATAAAACCAGTTGCAGAAAACCATTAAGTCTTCCCCTCAAGGTTTCCTTAAAATGTTCACGTATTTAAGGTTTTATTATCTTGGTCTTATACTTCAGGAATCCCTTAACACTTACCCTGCCAGAGAATTATTTTTAAGAAGACCCACAGAATAATTTGTTCTCTGAATTTGTAAACAGCATAAACATGAAATTAAAGACAAGACCTTCTTCTTTTAAACACAAAAACCATCTTATTCCATTTCATTTTTTATCAACATTTGAATTTGTGCATCTTCATACAAAAAAAATTCGCACAAAAAGCTGAGAAAAATGCATTTTTGTCAAAGAATGTTATTTTTAAGTGTAAAATCGATTTCACATTTTTTTGATTTTTCGCATTTCCTTACATCAGTTTGAAATGTATAAATAATAATAATAACAATAATAATAATATTCTGTTTCGTATAGTGGAACACGTTCGGCTGGCACATGAACAGTCATGGTGACTGAAATAATAGTAATAATAATGGAAATAGGACAAAAATAACCTGATGACATCACACACATCGTGAAAGACGACCGGGGATAATTGGTGTGACCATCGTGTAGTGTGTCATGTATGTTGGCCAAGTCACCGCACAATTTTATGACTTCACAATCATGTAATGTGACATAGTGACTGTTGGAACGGACAGAGGTGTCATGTAGTGTGAGCCCGGCATTATATGTGTCTACACCTTTCTTACATTTCTTCTTTTTATATTAATTCAACAAACTCCCAAATTCATCTTACTATATAATGACGAATACTCTGTCTGTGTGTCTGTTCCACGTTTTTCTCCTCACTGACTTGGTCAATCCATGTGAAATTTGGCACAGTGGTAGAGGGTCATGGGAGGATGCCAATGAAGCAATATTACATCAATTGGCCAAAGGGGGGCGCTATAGCAACCGATTGAAATGTCAAACTTTGAATGTGCATATCTCATGCCCCGTATGTCGTAGAGACATGAAACTTTGCACAGAGATGCCTCTCCTCATGAGGAACACATTTGTCTCAAGAACCCATAACTTCCGCTTATATAGATTTTCCGCCATTTTGAATTTTTTGAAAAACACTTCAAATGGATCTCTTCCTAGGAAGTTTGAGCGATCTGCATGAAACTGGGTGAACATAATCTAGGGACTAGGGCTGTCAACGAATATTCTAAATTCGGATTTAAATTCGAATTTGAAAAAAAAAATGGACCTTCGAATGTGAAAACTGATATTTGATTGTGAAGAGAAAAAAAAAAAAAAACACCACCGCAGCTGTCCTCTTTGCGAGTGGGCGTTGGCATCAGACGCGCATTTCTCCAGCCTGGTCGACAAGCGGTTCTGCTCCCAGCTGTTGTCTCCGTCACCCGGCTTGACACATTCGCTCGCGTCTCGCGCAGAAAATAGACCAGACGCCAAAATGATCGCTGCAGGGCGTGAGCCGGTAACGGTCCGGTACTTCGAGGCTATTCGCAGCGCTTCCGTGGGCGGTGTGGCCACGGGTCAGAGAGGGGGGGCAAGCGAGAGGTCCGCGGTCGTTTATAACGTAATGTTATAGATAATTGTTTTATGTGTTTTAATGTGTAGGTATGTAAATGTTTTCAAAGACGTTTATGTTGAAATAAAAATACCTACAAGTAGTTACGTTTCCTTGTATTAGTTTGCACTCTTGTGGACATAATGCGGAAAAAAAAAATATTCGAATGGTTCGAACCTATGAGTTATTTTTAGAAGGAACATTCGAACGTCATTTTTGAGCAATTTTGACAGCCCTACTAGGGACCATTATCTAAAGTTCCCTCTTGGCAAAAGTTGGAAAACTTACTAAAACTGAGCTTCTATAAGGCAATGTATATTGCGGAGGGCGTGGCTCATCACATAAAGGTGTATAACATCTCAAGGGTTTCACCCATCACCACGCAACTTTGTAGGCATATGACCACACATAATCTGAGGGGACCCCTCCATTATTGACCCCATCAAACAAAATGGGGGCGCTAGAGAGCTCATTTCTTATCTAGGCCTAACCGCCATATGGATTTTTACTAAACTTGGTAGATATGTAGAACAGGACGCCTCAAGGTGACTGGAGAAATTTAACTCTAATTGGCAACTGGGTGGCGCTATAACAACAGAAAAATGCTTCAAAATGGCTAAAATGCGACCGATCGCTGTGGCTCCCCCTGTGGACCAATGTTGGTGTTTCTAATTTTTGGTATGACTAAGTCATGGTATGGTATGCTGTACATAATCACGGAAACTGTCAGTGTGTCATTCTGTCTGTCCCACGTTTTTCTACTCACTGATGTGGTCAATCTATGTGAAACTGCACATAGGCATTGAGGATTGGCATAGGTAGAAGGTGACAAAGCTACCAATGGCTATGGACTAGTCTATTTATATTTGTGCTTTGTTTCAACTCATCATGCAGCCCATTGTGATTAATAAGTGAGCACAGGTGGGTGACAACAATATTGTATTCCATCATTGTCACCCACCTGTGCTCACTAATTAATCAAGATTGGGTGACACACTTTATCAAGCTTATGAAAATGTTGTGCTTGACTCCTGCCCACCCTTTTGCACCCTGACGAAGACCTTAGGGTCCAAACCTGTCAGTGTTTTAATGTAAGCAGCCATGGGCTTTTAACTTCAAATGCATTTGTTCCTGAAGTCAAATGTTTCTTCACAATTATATGTAGGTTACATATTGTTAAGTGTAGAGAAACATCCCCACCCTAACGCAAGGAGAGAGAATCCTGAGCTTACATGTTAATAAATAAAAAAAATGACCCTAAATACTTAGTACACTTTTACATTCTCTTCGTGGCTAATCAGCATCAGCATCAGACCAGACAGAAAATTACCCACTGGGCTAAAATTGTCATGTAACTTCTCTATTCTGTGTCTCTCTGCGGTGAAACGATGGTTCATGTTTAATTTGGGGCTCCAGCTTTTTTTGGCTCAGTAAATGCTATTGTACCTACGGCTGTCTCCTGGCTCGGACAAATTTTCGGGGGTTCAGTCGAGTCCACGAGGGAGAATTTCATGCTGAGTTATTCTCCACACACTGCGCTGTGTTTAATGTACCAGTGGCGAACTGCTCAGCTTGAAGGAGACAGGAAGACCAACTGTGATGCACCAAATGTGAGTGTGCATGTACGCGCGTGTGTGTGGGATTTTTTTGGGAACATGTTCCACGAATTGTTCCTCGT